TGATTGACCATATGAATACTTTCCTTTTTAAAGGTTCATTTTGTGTGAGTGAAAGTGAGAGTAGATATGTGCATGTGAAAGTGAGAGTAGATATGTGCGTGTGAGAGTGAGAGTAGACATGTGCATGTAAAAGTGAGAGTATATACGTGCGTGTGAAAGTGAGAGTAGATACGTGCGTGTGAAAGTGAGTAGACATGTGTGTGTGAACATGAGAGTAGATATGTGCATGTGAAAGTGAGAGTAGATATGTGCGTGTGAGAGTGAGAGTAGACATGTGCGTGTAAAAGTGAGAGTAGATACGTGCGTGTGCAAGTGAGAGTAGATATGTGCGTGTGAGAGTGAGAGTAGACATGTGTGTGTGAACATGAGAGTAGACATGTGCATGTGAGAGTGAGAGGAGACATGTGCGTGTAAAAGTGAGAGTAGATATGTGCGTGTGAAAGTGAGAGTAGATATGTGCATGTGAAAGTGAGAGTAGATATGTGCGTGTGAGAGTGAGAGTAGATATGTGCATGTGAAAGTGAGAGTAGATATGTGCTTGTGCAAGTGAGAGTAGATATGTGCATGTGAAAGTGAGAGTAGATATGTGCATGTGAAAGTGAGAGTAGATATGTGCATGTGAAAGTGAGAGTAGATATGTGCGTGTGAACGTGAGAGTAGATATGTGCGTGTGAGAGTGAGAGTAGATATGTGCGTGTGAGAGTGAGAGTAGATACATGCGTGTGAATGCCAGTGCCCAGGAAGGTCAGGGCATCCGGTGTCCCTGGAGCTGGAGGTACAGAAAGCTGTGAGCTGTACAACACAGGTGCTGGAAACCAGACTGAGGTCCTCTGCAGGAGGCTATGTGCCCTTAACCACTGAGCCATATCTCCAACTCCACTAAATAACACAAACTATGTTTAAACATACATAGGACAGAAATTGCTGTTTAGTGCAGGTGAAGAAAGCATTTTCAAACAGTAATACCATCTTCAGGCTTAAAAGTTCTAGAGTGTAAAGTTTAATTAACTAAAATTTTAATTATGAATTATTTCAATATGTAATCTAAATTTTGAATAATTTTGGTATTCTTTCTTCCTAAGTATGTTATCAAGTTTCAAGAATGTTAAAAAGTTCTCTGGTGACTTAATCTGAAATTGTTCCTACAGCAAAATACATAAATAATAAATAGCAGTTTATTAATCCATATTTTAGTTAAGCTGGGTCTCAGAGCAAGTTACCTCCTCAGGGAAAGCAGTGTTCTTTATAAAAGAAGGTGATGAGACATAGTCTCTATGGAATTAAATTGTGAATATGATGTTGGTATGGTACACACTAATATAAATCTGTTATTCTCTATTACAACACATTTTAAATTGTGGCTGATCTCATATGCAAATAGCTGTCTTATTAGAAGTCGTGTCTGTATGTGCTAATGTCTCCCTGGATTTCTTGGGAGTTTGCTATCATGTCATCAAAGCAATAGAAATGAATGATGATTACTGCAAAGCTTTGAAGAGCAAAGAAAAGTCAGAATGTTTTTAAATTTCTAGATGATGGAAGCATTGACAGTTTGTGCCCTACAGATGAATGGGCATGTCTTTAGATCACATCAAACAGAATCAATGCACTTATTAGTAAAGTAAAATACTTTTTGCTATTTTCTGTTTGTTTCTCCTAACAAAATTAAGTCATGTTAAAAATGTTTTGTAGGTTTCTTTTATTTTTTACTCACCATTTGGTTGAATATGTTTTTTTCTTTTGCTGAAGGAAGAGAAATATTTCAAACAAAAGAAGAATGTTGAATTTTTGAAATTCTCATCAAGTATTATTATCAATCACTGAAATATTAGAAACATAATTGAAAGCCAATTTTTTTGTCTTTTGTATAGATCTCAGAAATTCCTTTGGTTTTTATATAAAACATATATATATATATATATATATATATATATATATATATATATATCATGTTTGTTTACAGCCTACAGACACTTATGACCATTTAGATTTTTTAACTTTTTGGTATAATGTTATAAAGAAATGAATAAGGTTCAATTTCTTTTAATCAAAAAATACTGTTTTTTATTACTACAAGTAATGGATCGATATAATACTTGCCTCGTAAGTGTTACTTTTGTTAAATGACCAGGAAGAGAAGGGTAGTATAATGACAAGGAAGACAAGGTTAGTGTGAATAATAGCCATTTGGCACACAGACTTAGCAGTTGGCTGTGTTTTATGTGTTTAACTTAAACATATTCCATGAAGAAAAAAAACCTATATTAAAGGAAGAATATTATCTTGTGTTTTATTCATGTAAACTGAATTCTCTCTTGATATGGATACATCTTCAAGCTCCACACAATTAAGATTAAAATAATGACTCCACTTTACTATTAATAAATGCAAACACTATGCAAAATAGAACTGCTATATGAATACATTATACCTATTGACATTATTTACAGCTTGTCTTGACAGAACTATTTTTAATGTTTTGATTTATAACAAGTCAGACTATATAGGATTAGGTGATATTTTAGTTTCATTTAGAAAACTTTAAGTATGTGTCATCTTAGATGTAATAACCCCATGGTTTATTAGAGGTAGAGACTTAATTCATTTGACTTTCTGTTGTCAGAAATATTTTACATTCCTAGATTTTGTTATACCATCAATCTGATATTATTATAAAAATAAGCTTTTAGATGAGCTTATAATTTTCTTACACATGGGTAAGTTGTTACTTTTGGGATGTTTCGCTGTGTTGAATGAGATGATTGTTGGCTGTGAGGATATGTAAAGAATGTAGTTGAACTTGAACAGGCTTCAGATGTACTTGGTATCTGAGAACCCTTAATAAAGCTCATTAGGAAAAACCCCATCAGTTTATTTAGAGCCTGAAAGAGCTCCCCTTTTATTAATCCAGTCCAAACCTGAGAAACTAGCAGATATTGTCCTGTCTCAAATTCTGTTCTGAACTCCTTGAGGTTTCCAGACTATGAAACTTACCTGTTTCCACTCCCTTTTGTAGTATCACCCATAGAAATGTGTTGTTGAATCAATCATTGTCGTTTTAGAGGAACTCCTCTGTGAGTTACTCTCTGTGATTGATGCCTCTGGATGTCTCCTCCTTCAGCATGAAGAAGACATCACAGTGCACACTTGCCTTCCATGGTACAGCATCAGCTCATTCAGGGGGCGAAGACCTGGCATTGTTTTCATTCCCTACTCCTTAACATAAAATTTCTGCTTCCTTACAAAATAATTTCCTCATCTTTTGCTAACTTTCTTACCACTCACCGGTAGTTCCATGAACCTGTAATTTTGCCAGTTTCTTTTCTCAATATAATTCCATATGCTTTTTTGTCTATTCTTTGGGACCTGGGCTTTGCCACAGTTTCTTTTCTAGATACAATTCTATATACTTTTTGTCTATTCTTTGGGACTCTGGACTTCTGTTTATCACCACTAATTTCTACTCTGTGGTAACCTGAAGCGATTCGATTCAGGGCACCAGAATTGCTCATCCTCTGCTCTCTGATTCTCCCCTCACCATCTCTGTAGCCCTCTCTTTCTCTTCCTCCTTTTTCTCTCCCTGCTGTCTCTCAGGAGAAAAATCTTAATGAACTTTGTTCTTCAAATATTTTTTATTTTATTCTTCCTATATACATTTTAGAAGTTAGCTTTTCCAGCCTCTTTAACCCCAAGTTCTTAGAATTCCTGTGTCTTTATATATTTTTATTTATTATTTTTAATTAAAATACAATTATATAAGTTCTCTGCTTCCTCTCCTCCCTTCCCTCCACAAAGATCTACAGGCCCCTAATGACTGCTCAGGGAGGGAGGGTTAGCTTCTTCCAGGGAGGCAGCCCCTAATTGGTACCTAGTACAAAACAGGCAGTCCTGAAACCGAATATGCTCCAGCCACACTAAAGAGACAAGACAGATTGTATTTACATATTTGTGCATATATATGTAACAATAATAAGAGACCTTTATAGTTTTAATCCTAAGCTGACTTCCTGCTTGACCATATGTTTTTCACATAGAACAACACTAAAAGGAGTGGGGAACAACTTCCAGCAACCAATTTGCATTATTTGCATTAGTAAACATTTGTGACTTCAGTAAATATGGCCCACAAGTATCTTGTAAGTCACAAGACAATTTAATTCTTTTCTCAAGGATGACAAATTATTAAAAATATTTCCTCCATCCCTTGGATAATCATGTTTCTACAAATGGGACCTTCCAAATTTGTCTGGGGGCTCATTTATATTCCAATACATTAGATGGAAAGGAAGAGAATGCATGGTCATGCTTGGGAGTTTTTCATACTTAATTTGAAAATGATACATTCAAACACCTAGATCAAGAACGTAATTACATATTTTTAATTCAAGCTAGGAAATATAGTCTAGCTGTGAAAATAAGAAAAAGTGAGTGTAGATTTGATGAGAAGAGTATAGTTTCTGGTGCAATGGTTAAATTTAATAAAAATAGAATTTGAAAACTGATTTGAGGATTATATCAAACAGCACATACTGAAAAAGCAAGAATAATAATACATGAAGTGCTTTCTGCTGTTATATTACAAGGAGCAGAGCAGAGCCTAAACCCACCCATCGTGGCTACATTTGTGAGGCATTTCAAAACAAAATTCCAGCTGTCCAACTCACATACCTTTAGCCTTTCTGCTTTAATGTAACACAGTGGATAGCTACAAAATATTTTGCCATTTACACATACTATTATCTAACATTCTGGGTTAACTGAGCTTAGTTCTTGATGAAATTAATGTAACCTAGAATAAATAAGTGGAGATTTTATCACCAGTAATTGTATATCTGATGGTTTATTTGAAAGTTTTGTTTTCTTTGTAGGTATCTAATTGAAGTTAAGTCAGCAGCATTTTACCCACTGTTAAAAAAAAATGATCTTAAGGAACTTTTGGGGGAGTTTTCAGGTAGTTTTTTAAAAAAGTGTTTGATTATAATTATTTTCTTTCTTTTTAGCAGATATTTTGGAGATCAAAGATGGGTAGAAAAGACTCTTCCACTACAAAACTTCCTGTCGATCAGTACAGAAAGCAAATTGGTAAGCCCTGCACTTTTGTGAATGGAAATAAAGGAAAAGACAGTCATGTATGTTGATTAAGGAATACATTTTCTGTAATATATGTGACTCACAAAAGTATAAGACTAAGGAAATACCTTATAGGTTATTAGGAGGAAAAGCAAATATAACCCTGCCTCCTAGCAAAGAATAGACTTCATGTTATTGGCTTTTCCCAGTGCTTTTATGATTTTATTGATTGAATAAAACCAAAATTATTATTATTTTTAGGAATAGATGCTGTTTTATGCTATTTTACATATTGTTAGTTAATAAGTTAGTCCTTTATAGCATTTAAAAAATTAATTCTGTTGCCTCACAATTACAGTGATTTAATTATTTCAGAATAGGACATTAGAATATACTGAATAAAATATAAATGCCATATGTAGAACTGAGCTTAGAAAGACGAGGAAGAACTTTCCAGGAGGCATAAGAGAAGCCTTCTGAGAGAGGAGACACAAGACTCTGGTGATAAGATCCCAAGGGCATCTGTAGATCCTAGGACAGTGTCCTTGGGAAGATGGCCGTGTAGAGAGAAGACAGCACAGAGGGAGACAAGAAGCAGCTTGCTCTGATGCATGCTTTCTCTCTAAGTGCACATGATGTGCTTGTCTACAGAATACGCATGCACTACTTAGATAAAGCATGAAGGAAGACCTGAGATTTCAGAAAGTTTGTAGCCCAGGACCACAGTCTTTAAAGAAAGTGTAATAAAGTAGAAATCAGACACTAAATGAAAACTTCTACTTCTTAACATAGCACTCTCTTCCTCTACTCTTTACCCCTATCCATTCTTTTTTAAAGAAAAAAGTAATTAATTAATAACTATATAAAATCTACATATATTTATATGTACACATACACACATCAATATATTTCACTATCAAAAAGTCAATTAAAATATACATTATTCCACTTAATGGATAAATCCACCTAAAATCTACTCATAAATTTTCTGTTATACATGGTACAATGTTATTCAATGTAGCCCACATTAGATTTTTAGATGCTGGGACTTGTTTCTGTTTGACTTACATATCCCCATTCCTGTCCTTCAACTTGTGTAGCAACCAAAGATATCCATTACTTCTTTTTTTTATTCTTTTCTTTTTTAGGTTATACTGTAATTACATCGGTTGTAGAATATTAGTTGAAGATGTGTTACATTTGTTTATGCTGTGGAACATTTGCAAAGATGTATTGCAATCTTTTACTTTGCATTTGTTTAACTCTGTGAAGCTGTGTTATTGTGCCTGACTAAAATAACTGATTGGTCTAACAAAGAGTTGAATGGCCAATAGCTAGGCAAGAGAAAGGCTAGGTGGGGCTGGCAGGCAGAGAGAATAAATAGGAGGAGAAATCTGGGAATTAGAAGAGGAAGATGACATCAGGGGTCCGCTAACAAGCTACCCAGCAAGGCATGGAGTAAGAAGTAAAGAAAGGTATATAAAGTAGAGAAAGATAAAAGCCAAGAGACAAAAGGTATATAGGATAATTTAAGTTAAGAAAAGCTGGCTAGAAATAAGCCAAGCTATGGGAGAGCATTCATAAGAAAGAATAAGCCTCCTTGTATTTATTTGGGAGCTGAATGATGGGCCCCCAAAGAACAAAGCCAAAAGAGCCAAATTGTAGCTAGAGTTTTCCTGCCTTGTCCACAGTCAGGACAAATCTTTGTCACCTGCCAGTCCCACAGCTGCTCAGACCCAACCAAATAAACACAAAGACTTAAATTGCTTACAAACTGTATGGCCATGGCAGGCTTCTTACTATCTGTTCTTATAGCTTAAATTAATCCATTTCCATAAATCTATACTTTGTCGTGGCTTACCGGCATTTTCACATTCTGCTTGTCCTGGCGGCGGCTGGCAGTGACTCCTTCTGCCTTCCTGTTCTTTCTTTTCTCCTCTCTGTTAGTCCTGCCTATACTTCCTGCCTAGCCATTGGCCAATCAGTGTTTTATTTATTGACCAATCAGAGCAACACATTTGCCATACAGAACATCCCACAGCACCAAATAGTGAAAAAAGCAAATAGCTACATGCATAATTTTCTCCTTCCTTTGCCTCCTCCAAATTTTTCTATATATCCCCCCTTGCTCTATTTCAAATTCATGGCTTTTTCATTTATTTTTGACATATATATATATATATATATATATATATATATATATATATATATATATATTTCTTAGTTCAGTTAACTCAAATTATCAGGCTGTTGGCAGAATGCAGTAAGATTCTTTGCCAGAATGAAACTTGAGTGGCCTCTAGCCCATTCCAGACAGATTATTTGTTGTTTGAAACTTCATGAGCTGGTCTTCCACTAGCCACATTTCTCTAACCTTCTGGTCTTCTGAGCTACACCCCAAAATTGTAAATTAAGCTCTACTACAATGCTATAGGGTTTTTCTTGCCTACAGGTCCAAGCTCTTTCATATTCCTCCTACAAATTAGTTCCAAAGTCCCCCAAAACAAATGAGCAGGTTCATCACAACCAAAACCCCTCGCTTGGTAAAAATTTTCTGTTAGTTCCTCTCATCATTGCTGTGATGAAATACCTGACAGAGGCCACTTAAGGAAGGGTTTATTTTGAGTCACCCTTCAAAGGATATGAAGGATATGGTCCATCATGTGTGAGAGGGCATATTAGTAGGGGTGTATAGTAGCTGGTCACATTGCATCCATATTCAGGAAGCAAAGAGGCATGAATGGTGCTCAAGTCTCCTTTTATTCAGTCAAAAAGCTCAGCCAGTGGATGCTCTTTTCTGAATTTCTGGTAGAATTCATCTGTAAAGGCATCCAGTATTGAGATGCTTTTAGTCAGGGAACTTCTGATTCCTGACTCAGTATCTTTATTTGTTATTTGTCTCTTTAGGTTTTCTATTTATATTTGATTCCTTCTTTGTGCCACGAGCTAAAAACTGTTTCTAGGAATATATCCATGTTCATATAAATATTCCCATTCCTTCTAGTTATTCAGTTTGTTGGCATATAATTATCCACAGTAGCCTGTTATGATCTTTTATGATTGAGTTTATTTTCTTGAATTTTTTCCCTGTCTTCATTTTGGTATTTGTTCACTTCCCTTAGTTTAGAAAACCCTCATTCTCTCTTGTTAATGTTTCTCATATTGCATTTTTGTCTGTATTTCATGTGCTTCTTATCTAGTATTTGTTATTTTAATCTCTCTGCTTATTTTGCACTTAATTTACTGTTTATATATTTTTTTAGCTATTTTGGATTGTTTAGTTGGGATGATTCTCTTTTTTTTAATTCAGAAATTTTTTATTCATTTTACATACCAATCACAAATCCCCCTCTCCCCTCCTCCTACACCTCCAGCCTTCCCCCACCCACACACCCCATTCCCTCCTACAAGAAGGTAAGGCCTCACATTGGGAGTCAGCAGAGCCTGGTACATTCAGTAGGGACAGGGATGATTCTTCTTAATGCAAGTAGTTATTATTTTAAACACTACTCCATGCAGTGTCAGTCCATTTCCTGCTGCTTTAACAGAACTAGACTAAACCTAATAGTATGTAAAGAAGAAAAGCTCGAGAAGGTATGCCCAGGATGGCAGCTTGTGTGTGCCTCACTAATGTTTCTTAATATACCATCAGATAGTGCGTGGAAACTGAGAGAAATCCTAAATCAGCTCAGTCTGTGTTTCTGTTCTACAGCCACCAGTCAACCTCCTACATCCAAGTATTAGTACCATTTGGATTGTGAATTACATTTAAGTGTGTTTTTAGCTGTGGCACCTACTTTTGCTGCATGGGATTAATTTGTTCATTTTCATGTGTCACAAAATGTTTCTTTCAATCAGTGCTTATTTAAGAGTTATTTACATTTACATGATATCTGTGAAATTTTCTATTTGGCTTGTGTTACTGATGTCTAATTTCTTTGAATTCAGAAAAGATACTTTGAGTGAGTTTAGTTTTCTCGTATTTCTTAAAATTTGTTTTGTGTTCTAGCACATCCTACAGAATGTTAACATGCCCTCAAAAAATGTGTAATCTGTTACTACCAGATTGGATACTCTGTATTCATCTATGAGGTATATTATCTAAGTCCACTATTTACATTTTGTTGATCTATCCATAAATAAAGCTGCATACTATCAGTATTTATTTCCTATTCATAGTGATATTTCTGGCTTCATGAGCTGTTTGTGTATCATCTATCTATCTATCTATCTATCTATCTATCTATCTATCTATCTATCTATCTATCATTTTATGTCTCTCTATCCATTCATCTTTCTCTCTCTCTTACCTCTACATACATACATATATTCATGTGTATATTTATGCATATATATGTATATACTTTAAAGTTAATACATATAAAATATGCCTGCTTAATCTGTAGGTTTCAAAGTACATGGATTCAACTAAGCTCAGAATGAAAATATATTAAAAATTGTCTCTGACCTTAACATGATGAAGGCATGTTTCTTATCATCATTTTGTAAATAATACAGCATTATAGGCTTTGTACTGCATTAGGGACTATACACAATCTAGAGATGTTTTGAGTTCCACATGTTAGCTCTGTGCTAACAGCATGTGTAGACAGCATCTGAATTCCTGGATGTGAGCATCTACTGAGTGTCCTGGCACTACCCTCTGAAGACTATGGAACAACTACAAACATTTATAATAACTACATCCTTCTCTTGAATTGGCTCCCTTATAATTACATTATGACTTTTTCATTTGTCACAGTTTTTATCAAGTTTGGTTTTGTCAGATGTAAGCCTCGTCACTCCCGTGCTTGTCCTCTGGCTGGCTCAAGTGCCTTCTCTTGCTCTCTGTTGCTCTTGCTCTTCCACTACAATATCCTTTCTATTTCTGTAATGACACAGCTTATGTATCATTAAGACTAAAGTGACTCATCTTGAAGGACTTTCTTTGTGTCTCTTTGTTTCTTTATCGATGCATGTAATCCATTTAAATTTAAAGTAACTTTCGATAG